AGGGATGGAATCCATCCAGCTGGACAATAGAGTTGTAGATAGAGGATAGTGCTGCTAACCATATCAAAGACCATAGAAAGATTAAGAAAGGAGGTGGGATGCTTTTCTACAGTTACAACTGCATGGATATTACTTCTGACTAAGGGACATTTCAGTTCTGAGTCAGGGGCTGAAACCTGATTGGGAATGGGTTTCAAACATGGACTTTTGGGAAAGATGAGAACTCACTCAAGGAACTTCAAGAGAAAGATCCAAAGATGTGCAGGTTAGGTGGACTGGCCATGCTAAATTGTCCATAATGTTCAGGGATGTGTAGGTTAAATATATTAGCCATGAGATATGTATGGATAGGGAACGGGGGTGGGTCTGGGTGGGATGCTTTTCGGAAGGTCGGTGTGGGCTTGATGGTCTGAATGACCTGCTTCCACACTGTATGGATTCTATGATTTATTATCTGCTCACAAAAGCTAGTCATTGACCTCTCTACTAAATATGTATAAGCCATTCCCACCCAAATCAATGACAACATATATCAATGATTTAGATAAGGAAGCTAAATATAATTCTCAAAATCTGCAGAGAGCACAAATCTGGGTGGGAGAGAGTGAACTGTGAAGAGGATGCACAGATGCTTCAGTTTAATTTGGGCAAGTTGAGTGAGTGGGTATATAATGAAATATAATGTGAATAAACATAAGGTTATCCACTTTGGCAGCAAAAACAGAAAGGCAGATTATTAACTGAATGGCGATAGATTGGGATAGAGGAGGTGCAATGAGACCTAGTTGGCCTTGTACACCAGTTGCTGAAAGTAAGCACGCAGCTGCAGGCAGTGAAGAAAGCAAACTAAGGGGTATAGAGAAAGTAGGAAGGAACTTAAACGCGGAATTAGGAAGGCTAAAAGAGGCCATGAAATGTTTTTAGCAAACAGGGTCAAGAAGAATCCCAAGGCATTTTATGCATATATTAGAAGGAAGAGGATAACAAGGGAAAGAGTAGGCCCACTCAAGGATAAAAAGAGGGAAGTTATAGTTGGAGCCACAGGAAGTAGGGGAGATCCTTAATGAACATTTTGTATCTTGTCCTTCTCCTTGATGAACGTGACGGATGTTGAGGTCAGGGATGAGAGTGTGAATACTCTAGAGAACATCAATATACTGAAGCAGGAAATTTTGGGTATCCAAAATTGCATTAAGGTAGACAAGTCCTTGGGACCAGATTGGACCTATCTCAGGTTACTGCGAGAGGCAAGGGAAGAAATAGCTAGGGCATTAGCAGAAAACTCCACATATTCTTTGACCACAGGCAAAGTTCTAGAGGACTGGAGATTAGCCAATATTGTTCCCTTTTTTAAGAAAGGAAGCAGGGATAATCCAGGAAATTATAGTCTGGTGAGCCTGATTTCTGTGGTAGGGAAGCTTTTAAGAGAAAATACTGAGGGACATGATATATATGCACATTTGGAAGAAAATGGACTTGATAGTGACTGGCAGCATGGTTTTGTACAGGGAAGGTCTTGTTTAACCAACCTGATTGAATTTTTTGAAGAGGTGACAAAGATAATTGATGAGGAAAGGGCTTAAGTAAGACAATTGATAATGTCCCACATGGCAGATTGGTACAAAAACTAAAATCACATGGGATTCTGGGTGAGCTAACTAGAGGAGTACAAAACTGGCTTGGTCATAGTAGACAGAGGGTAGCAGTGGAAGGTTGTTTTGCAGAATGGAGACCGGTAACTAGTCGTGTTCCACAGGGATCAGTCTTAGGTCCTCTGTTGTTTGTAGTACGTATAAATGATCTGGAGGAAAATGTGGGTGGTCTGATTAGCAAATCTGTAGATGACACGAAGATTGGTGGCGTTGCCGCCAGTACCAACAACTGTGAGAGGATACAAGAGGATATAGATAGATTGGTGACTTGGGTACAAAAATGGCAGATGGAATTTAATCCAGACAAATGTGTGGTGATGCATTTTGGAGGATTAAATTTAGGTGCAAATTATACTGTAAATGGCAGAACCCTTAGGAACATTAACATTCAGACAGATCTGGGTGTGCAGGTCCACAGTTCCCTAAAAGTGGCAACACAGGTGACCAAGGTGATTAAGAAGGCACATGGCATGCTTGCCTTCATCAGCCAGGGCATGGAGTACAAGAGTTGTGGCTATACAAAACCCTTGTTAGGCCACATTTTGGAGTATGAGGTCAATACAGTGTGGAGTTGGAGGAACACAGCAGGTCAGGCAGCATTAGGACCTGATGAAGAGTCCCGACCCGAAACACTGACTCTCCTGCTCCTCTGATGCTGCCTGACCTGCTGTGAAAAAGAGTACACGGAAGGTTCACCAGGATATGCCTGGTCTTGAGGGCACTGACTATGTGGAAAGGTTAAAAAGACTAGGAACGTTTTCATTGGAAAGACAGCGGCTGAGAGGAGACCTGATAGAGGTCTAAAAAATTATGAAAGGAATAGATAGGGTGGATAGTCAGAGGCATTTTCTCAGCATTGAAGTTTCAATTATAAGGGGGCACAGGTTCAAGGTGAGAGGGGGAAAGTTTAAGGGAGATGTGTGAGGGAAGTTTTTCAGAGTGCTAGGAGCCTGGAATGCATGCCAGAAGAAATGGTGGAAGCAAACATGTTGGCAACATTTAAGCGGCACCTGGGTGGTTACATGAATAGGGAAGGAATAGAAGGATTTGGATCAAATAAGGGCAGGTTTGTTTTTTAATTTTAGTTAGGCCATGATGATTGACACAGGGTTGGAGGGCTGAAGGGCCTGTTCCTGTGTTGTACTGTTCTTTTGTTCAAATGGTATGTTAACCTTCATAATGGGAGGATTTGAGTACAGGGATGCAGGAGCTGGAAGTTCTTGATGCAAATGTACAGAGTTTTGTGAGGCCACACGTGGAGTGTTGTGTGCTGTTTTTGACTCCTTATCCGAGGAAGGATGTTCTGACTACGGACGTAACGAAAGTTTACCAGACTGATTCCTGGGATGGCAGGACTGATGCATGAAGACAGACTAGTTTGATTAGGACAACATTCATTTCAGTTTAGATGAATGAGGGGGTAGTCTCATTGAAACCCATGAATTTCTAACAGGACTTGAAAGGGTGAATGCAAGAAGAAAGTTCCCGATGACCGCAGAGTCCAGAACCATGGGTCACAGTCTAAGGACACAGAGTAGACCATTTAGGCTAGAGATGAGAAGAAATTTCTTCACCCACACAATGGTGAGCCTATGGAATTCTCTACCACAAAAAGTGACGGAGGCCAAAACATTGAATGTTTTCAAGATGGAGTTAGATATAGTTCTTAGGGCTAAAGGGAACAAAAGGTATGGCAAGAAAGCAGGAACAGGGTACTGAGTTGGATGGTCAGCCACGATCGTACTGAATGGCAGAATGGCCGAGTCCTGCTCCTATTTCTATGTTTCTATCCAAACCCTTCAGAAACAAAATCTCCCTCAAACTCCTGATCCACGAAGAAAAATGCCAGCTTGACTAATCTTCCCTCACAGCTGTATTATTCCAGTACTGACAACATCCCGATAAACATCCTTTATATTCTCTCCAGTGCAATTACATCATTTCTGCAATTAGGTGACCATGACTGCATGCATAACTCATGATTTATATATTATCCAATATAACATCCCTGCCTTTATATTGCATTCCTTGGCTAATAAAGGGAAGGATTTCATATGTTTTCTTAACCACCTATTTACCAGCTCTGCAACCTTCAGGGGATCTGTGGACATTGACCTTTTCTAACGAGTATTTTGCTACTAATGTGGATTTCTTTCCCTTGTTTGACATCTCCATACGTACCACTACATTCTTGGGTACATTGTGCAGGATTAAATTTCATTTCTTAATTGCCTGTCCACCTGATCACTCCATTATATCTTCTTGCAGCCTACAGCTATCCTTCTTGCTCTCAAACATGCGACCAATCTTTGTGTCATCTGCAAACAGACATAGCACTGAGCCTTGCAGTTCCCCATTGGAAACAGCCTTCCAGTGACAAACCGTCAACAACTACCTTTTGTTCCCTGCCACTGAACTAATTTTGCATCCAAATTTTGTATCCAGCTTGCTACATTCTCCTAGAGTCTATGGGTTTATTTTTTAACAAATGTCTGTCATATGGGATCTTGTCAAAAGCCGTGTTAAAATCACTGTAGGCCACTTTAACTGCATTACCCTCATTACTTTTTCGAAAAATTCAAATAAAGTTAGGCAGGTACAGTATTCCCTTAATAAATCCGTGCTAACCATCCATGTTTAATCTGTGCCTTTTTAAGTGGCAGTTTGACTTGATGTCTCAGAATTTGTTTCAATGATTTGTCCAATACTGAGATTAGACTGACTGGTTTGTAATTAGTCAACCTATCCCTCGCTCCAATTTTTCAACAAAGGTACAATGTTAGTAGTCCTCCAATCCTCTAGCACCACACCCATATCTACTCAGAATCGAAAAATATGATAAGACCTGCTATTCCCATCCTAGATTCTTTTAACAACCTTGGGTACATTTTATCTGGTCCTGGTGATTTTTCACTTTCACGGTTATTATTTCCACTAATTTTTTTTCCCCTATATTTATGACATCTAATACCTCACAGCTCCCTCTTAATTATAATATTTACATTGTCACCCTCTTCTGAGAAGACAGACAGAGTATACATTAAGAACGAGAACATTTTCCACCTCAAGGGAGCCAACAGTTTAAGACAGGAACCTTTAGAACATATGTGCATATTGGATCAAATGGTACAATGTTATTTTTTCACCCTGGCTACATTTGAAGCTACCTTATACATTTAGTTGCATATGTTTTAAATATTATGCATATGCTATTAAATGTACTATCTATTTCAAATAAAGTGAACAGTCCTAAGATCAATGCAATATTTTACAGATGATACTAATTCTCAAAACATTAGCTGAAGATAAATTCTGAATTTATCAAAAAGAATAATATCGCAGGGATACCTGTCTGCGTCGGATGAATTAGAAGGTGCCGCTCTCAAACTTTCTGGGTTTGATGGAGAAGTATTTATTCTGGATGACCGATGTGTGGAATCGCTAGCGAACAAATAATTGCTGAGAAACCTCCAAATTGCAATAACTGGGTAAAATAATGTGTTCAAGAAAGCCCACAATCCTCCTTCCGAGGATCGGATCATTGATGAAGTTGACCGTCCGCCCTACAAATGCAAGAATAAGCTCAGGGTTACGGAATGCATCTAAATCAAAGCTTTTTAGTATTTAGTAGTCTATTTTAGTTAGTGGGTTGCCTGCAGAGATTATAAAGACTTGTCTATTAAACCATCTCCAAATGCTGTGGATTGCAAAATTACTGCCAAATGGAAGCATTTCAAACACAGTTCATTGATATTGCTCACTTCAGGTCATAGTTGCTTGGTAAAGATTCTGCCTTTTCTGATTTACATATTCTCTGGACACTTTTTCTTTCTTTATTTACCTTGGATTGCTTTGCATCATCATCTTTGTTTAAATTAATATATCCTGCCCTCTACCCTAATACAGACCTCCTCTTTTGCTTTTTACCCCCTAATCACCCTGCTGTTGTACTTGCTTTAAATCTGTGACATCTCTAACCTTCCATTCTGATGAATCATTAATGGTTTCCTTCTCCACCGATGCCCACAGATGACCTCCAAAGCATTCACAGCTTTCTTTGCTTTTAAGTTATAACTTCCCATCAATCTATTTGTAAAATAGGTCTGACTTGATTTCTAAATATAACTACTCTCAAAACTGTTTACTGCAACATTCCTGCATAATACACGAACATAAAAACATAGGAAAAGCGGTAGACCATTCAGCAGGCCTTTAGTCTGTTCTACCATTCAATAAGACGATGACTGATTTGCGGCCAAAATCCATATGCCTGCCTTTGGCCTATGCCCCTTAATACCTTTTGCTTATCAACGGTTTACCTATCTCAGATTTAAAATCAACAACTGACTTTACAACACTCCCAACAATATTCAAGAAGCTTGACATCATCCAGGACAAAGCAACCCACCTGATTGCTTGCGAATGTGGTGCCATTCACTCCCTCCACCACCGACGCTCAGTAACAGCAGTGTGTACTGTCTACAAGATGCACTGCAGAAATTCACCAAAGATCCTCAGACAGCACCTTCCAAACCCATGACCATTTTCATCTAGAAGGTCAAGGGCAGCAGACATACGGGAACACCACCACCTCCAAGTTCCCCTCCAAGTCACTCACCATCCTGACTTGGAAATATTTCACCGTTCCTTCAATGTCACTGGGTCAAAATCCTGGAATTCCCTCCCTAATAGCATTGTGGGTCAACCCACAGCAGGAGGACTGTAGCAGTTCAAGAAGGCAGCTCACCACCACCTTCTCGAGGGCAACTAGGGATGGGCAAGAAATGCTGGCCAGCCAGCGACACCCACATCCCACAAATGAATAGGAAAAAAAAAACTGATCTAGCTTTCACTGCTGTTTGTGGAAGAGCATTCCAAATATTCAGCACTGTGTCTCAAAGTGCTTCCTAACAATCTCTCCTGAACGGTCTAGCCCTAAATTTTGAGAATAGACCCCATTAGTCTAGAATCTGAGCTTGTGAAAAAATTTCTCTCTACCCTGTCTTTACATTGATCAAACAGATTATCACAAACATCATGACAAGTTGGATTCTAAACTTAATTTTAATTAATTCTCCTGCGTGTTCATAACAGCACAAACTGGTATCACTCTCAAGAAGATCAACAACATTGATAATTTACTTGATTATTTAACTTAAATTGATCATTTACTATAGTTAACGTTGAGTCCAGTGACCTCCAGCAGATTTGAAAGCAACTGGGAAATGGTGGTATTTATGCAGATGACGTGGGGGTGGGGGCAGCTGCTGTCACTGCATCCGGAGATCCTCTCTCTTCAAAATCCCATCTCATGCTATCTCAAAGCTGTTCTGCCCTCCAATTCCACTTTATTTTTTGGCTTGTTTCACATTTTAACAAGGAGCTTTTGCTCTTCCTTTCAGGTATTAAGGAACACAAGCTGCAACAACTCAGAGTACACATGCCCCACTGGAACCTTCTATCCCTCTCCTTTCCGGACTCTCAAATTACCTCTCGTCAGGTATTTAAGACACTTTCTAACCTTTGTTCTGATTCTGAATAGTCTGTACTCAAAGGACTTAGTTTTATCTCTTTATGCCACCACCTCAATAAATTTCAGACACAACATGACGTTAAACTCTTTTTCTATCATCTCTGTGCTAATGTACACAGAACATTTCTATGGACAGGAAGCTCTCCCTATCCCACAGACACGTTCACCCAATTCTCCTTTCTCCCAGACCCCTCCCTCTGGTTTCTTATCTGCATTCAACCTGTTAATCGGCAACTGACAACATGACACCAGTTGCCTCAATTCTTCTGCCCCAGTCACCATTCTAAGCCATCTCCCACTGAACTGACTGCATTCAATGCTCTCGGATCCAACCTTGACTTTGTAATCAAACCTGAAGAGGGCAGTGCTCTTATTGTTTGGCATACTGATCTGGAGCTTGCAGAGGCTAGTCACCAGCTCTCAAACACCTCTATATACCCGGATCATGACCGCATCATTGAATATCAAGTTATTGTTTTCACCACTGTTACCAAACTCATCTCCCCAACACAGCATCACACCTACAGTTTTACAACCCTGTTCAGCCCTCTTCTACCATCTTCCCAAAGGAATGGTGGCACGGTGGCTCAGTGGTTAGTACTGCTGTTTCACAGCACCAGGGACATGGGTTCAATTCCACCCGTGAGCGACTGTCTGTGTGGAGTTTGCACATTCTCTCAGTGTCTGTGTGGGTTTCCTCCCACAGTCCAAAGATGCACAGGTTAAGTGGATTGGCCATGCTAAATTACCCATAGTGTCCAGGGATGTATGAGCTGGGTGAATTAGGAAATGCAAGTTACAGGCATAGGGTAGAGGATGGGTCTGGGTGGGATGCTTTTCGGAGGGTCGGTATGGACTCTATGGGCTGAATTGCCTGCTTCCACACTGTTGGAATTCTATGATTCTACAAAATCCACAAACAGGATTGCCCATGCAGACCCATTGTTTCTGCTCCATGGAAATTATTTCTTCCTACCTTAATTCAATTTTTAAAAATATATATTTTCTAATCAACCTGTTCAGAGATGTCATAGAGTCATACAGCACGGAAACAGACTCTTCGGTCCAACCAGTCCATGCCAAGTCTCATCCCAAACTAAACTCATCTCACCTGCCTGCTCCTGGCCTATATCCCTCCAAACCTTTCCTATTCATGTATCCACGCAAATGTCTTTTGAATGTTGTAATTGTACCTATATCCAGCACTTCCTCAGGAAGTTCATTCCACACGCGAACGATCTTCTGTGTAAAAAACTTGCCCCTCATGTCTTTTTTAAAATCTCTCACCTCTCACCTTAAAAATGTGCCCCCTAGTCTTGAAATTCTCCATCTTAAGCAAAAGACAACAACCATTAACTCTATCTATACCTCTCATTGTTTCATAAACTTTTATGAGCTCTCCTCTCAACCTCCTACACTCCAGGGAAAAAAGCCCCAGCCTATCCAGCCTTTCCCTATAACTCAAACCATCCATACCTGGCAACATCCTGGTAAAACTCTTCTGAATGTTCTCCAGCTTGATAATATCGTTCTTATGACCAGGCGACCAGAACTGGACACAGTATTCCAGAAAAGGCCTCACCAAATGTCCTGTATAACCTCAATATAATGTCCCAACTCCTATACTCAAAGCAATGAAGGCAAGCGCGCCAAATGCCTTTTTAACCACCCAGTCTATATGTGACGCAAATTTTAAAGAATTATGTACCTGCACCCTTAGGTCCCTGTTTTACAACACTACCCAAGGTCCGTATCACTAATTATATAAGTCCTGTCCTCGTTTGTTGTACCAAAACACAATACACCTCACATTTATCCAAATTAAACTCCATCTGCCATTCCTCAGTCTATTGACCCAATTGATGAAGATCTCTTTGTAATCTTAGATAACCTTCACTGTCCACTCTACCATCAATTTTTGTGTCATAAGCAAACTTACTAACCATGCTTCCTATATTCTCATCCAAATCATTTATTTAAATGACAAACGAAAGTGGACCGAGTACTGATCCCTTGGAATACCACTGGTCACAGGTCTCCAGTCTGAAAAAAAAAACCCTCCACCACTACCCTGTCTCCCACCATAAAGCTAATTTTGTATTCAATTGGCAAGCTCAAGCTGAATCCCTTTGATCTAACTTTGCTAATTAGACTACCATGCATAACCTTGTCAAAGACTAAGTCCAAGTAAACAATATCTACTAGTCTGTCCTCAATCTTTTTGGTTACTTCATTAAAAAACTTCAAATCAAGTTTGAAGACACAATTTCCCTTGCACAAAACCATGTCGACTATCCCTAAGCACTCCTTGCCTTTCCAAGTGCACGTAAATCCTATCTTTCAGAATCACCTCCAACAATTTATTCTCCACTGATATCAGACTCACAGGTCTAAAGTTTCCGGGCTTCTCCTTACAGCCTTTCTTAAACAACGGTACAACAGTAGCCACCCTCCAGTCCTCCGGTATTTCACTAGTGTTTATAGATAATAAAAATATTTCTGCTAGGGGACCTGTAATTTCCACCCTAACTTACCACAAAGTCCTGAGATACAATTGGTCAGGTGCTGGAGACTCATCTACCCTAATGTTTTCTAAGACCTCTAGCACTTCCTCTTCGGTAATATGAACTGTTAGACTAGAAATAGACATTTAATATCTCTCCCATCTTCTGAGGTTCAACACAAAGACGACCTTGTTGATCTTTAAGGGTTCCTATTCTCTTTCTAGTTGCTCTCTTGCTCTTAAATGTATTTATAGAATCTTTTTGGATTATCTTTACCTTATCTACCAAGGCTATCTCACTTTCCCTCTGCCTTCCGGATTTCCTTAAGAATGCTCCTACACTCTTTACATTCTTCAAGAGATTCAGTTGATCTCAGCTGTCTATATATATGATTTTTTTTATTCTTGATTAGAACCTCAATATCCTTATTCATTCATCCTACTCGGGTGCCTCCCACAATGCTTTCTCAGGCACATTGATGACACTATCAGTGCTGCTTCTGTTTATCGCCTGATTTTGGAAAAACTGATCAATTTTGCTTCCAATCTCCATACTTCACCTTCAGCTGGTCCATTTACGATTCCTCCCCTCCTTGATATCTGTTTTCATTTCTGGGGACAGGCTGGGCACCGATATCTAGTACAAACCCATCAACTTCCACAGTTACCTTAACTCTACAACCTCACACTCTGCTTCCTACAAGGACTTAATTCCATTCTCCCAGGTTTCTCAGTCCGATCTGTTCGGATGATATCACTTTTTGCAGGAGGGACTCGGACATGTCCACCTTCTTCCTCAATTGAGGATTCCCTGCCACCATGGTTGACAGGGTCCTCAAGTGCATCTGATATATTTCCCACACTGCTGCTTTGACTCCTACCCTTCCCTCCCACGACAAGGATGCCCCTCTTGTCCTCACTTTTCACTCCAAAAGCCTCCACATTCATAAGATCATAAGCTGCCATTTTTGCAATCTCCAGCAGGATGCCACCACCAGACATATTCCTCTCCCCTCCCTTAATAGCGTTCCTGACATACCTCTCCCTGGGACTCCATGATCCACTCCTCCTCAACTCCCAGCACCTTCTCACATCCACACGGCACCTTCCTAGCAATCACAGAAGGTGCAATACTTGCTCGTTTACCTCATCCCTTCTTATTATCCAAGGCCTCAGAAACATTTCTCAGGTAAAGCAATAATTTACCTGAACTTCATTCAACCTGGTTTACAGAATTCACTGCACACAATGTGAGGGCTCCCCTACACTGGGGAGATAAAATGCAGACCGGGTGACTACCTTGCAGAAGATCTCCCTTTGTGCATAAAAATGACCCCGAGCTTCCAGTTGCCTGCCTGCCACTTCAACACACCACTGTGTTCCCATATTGACATCTGTGTGTCAGGTCTGCTCCAGTGCTCTGGCAAAGCTCAACGCAAGCTGGAGGAACAAGAACTCATCTTCCGTCTAAGCATCTTACAGCCTTCGAGACTCAGCACTGAGTTTAACAATTTCAGAACGTGAACATCTATTCATCTTGCTGCTGCATTACACCCCCCCAAGCAGGATAAATACCACCATTTCTCAGTTCTGGTTAAGGCTCACTGGACAAGAAATGTCAACTGTTTTTCTCTCCACACATCCTACCAGACCTACTGAGTTTCACCAGCACTTTGTTTTTGCTTCACATCTCCAGCACCCGCAGTTCTTTGCTTTATTTTATCATTTACTAGGGATGGTGTGTGTTGGAAATGTTCCTCTGAATACAGACAGCATGCCATATTACAGGATTTTTAAATTCTAATCTTTGCTAATCCATTTGATCTAAACTGTACCTTGTAAGGCATCCAAACCCATGTTTTACCTGTACATTACAAATCAGCAAACTCAACAGGCAACCAAGTTCAGAAGTCCACAAAAATACTGCTTGAAAATAATCACAAATATGAAATGTTGAAATATTCAATGTACTTTAAAGTTAGTTATGTTTTAAGTGTAATGTAGTAGAACTGGGTACTAAAGTTCAGAATTTTCAAAAAAATGCAGCAGCTTTAAAATTTACTGCAATGATGTTTGCTTTCATTCTAAGAAAGATCAAGGATATTCCATTTAATTCATACATTAGCTGTAAACTTCTTTAAAAATATTGCCGTTTTGAAATTCAAAAATATTAAATTACTTTTCAAGTAAATTTCAGGTCTTTTTGTGATGTTAGATGAAGTCAGATGAGAGGATTCTAATACATGCTTATTCCTTGATGTGCAAAGTCAAATTATTTACTTACTGTTAATCTATTGACTTTATCTGTGGAGTTTAATTCAATGGGTTATTTTACGCACACAAATTGGTTATCTTTCCAGCAAGAAATTATTTTGTTCTGGTAATGACTGCAAAGAAGCTTGTGTCTTTCCAACACAGTTCCAAACTATTTAAATTTTGCTATCTGTATCTGTCCTCAGTTTTTTTTCTTCGTTTCAATATTCCTATATTGGTTTTAACTTGCTCATATACTGTGCTTTATAGGGATGGAGAGCGCAAGAATTGGGGAAAAAAAGCATTTTCAAAAACATACTGGGACTAGGATGATTGAGGCACTTGGTACCAACTCCAGCTCAGTCAGTGTTTTGCTGTAATCGTCCTTTGTAAATTGCTTCCTTGGAAAAGTTATTGCCAATTCAAAGTGTCCATAAATACCACCAACTTGCTGCAAGAAAGGAATTTAAATCAGACATGGTGAATTTTTCATAAAATCATCCAGTTGTGCAAATGGTAGGTAGATACATCAGGTGATAAATTGCTGAAAACAGTCGAAAACTATAACAATATTTTCCTAGCAAGATCTACTGAATTGACTTCAAATAATTTTAAAAATAAACAATAATTTACAGAAATTGGTGCAGGAACATTGCAGGCCTGGCAGCATCTGTGGTGAGAAAGCGGTGTTCTGCAGAAAGGTTAGTGGGCTTGCAACATTAACTCTGCTTTCTCTCCATAGATGCTGCCAGACCGGAGTTCCTCCAGCAATTTCTGTTTTTCTTTCAGATCTCTAGCATCCACAGTTTTTTGTTTTAGTTAACTACAAATTTATATCTCTGCAATGCATTTAACATAGCAAGACATCTTGAAGCACTTCAGAGGAGCGCTATTAAGTGAAGTCCGAAGAGATAGGAGAGGTGCTAAATGAATATTTTTCGTCAGTATTCACACAGGAAAAAGACAATGTAGTCGAGGAGAATACTGAGATACAGTCTATTAGACTAGACGGGATTGAGGTTCATAAGGAGGAGGTGTTAGCAATTCTGGAAGGTGTGAAAGTAGATAAGTCCCCTGGGCCGGATGGGATTTATCCTAGGATTCTCTGGGAAGCTAGAAAGCAGATTACAGAGCCTTTGGCCTTGATCTTTATGTCGTCATTGTCTTCAGGAATAGTGCCAGAAGACTGGAGGATAGCAAATGTTGTCCCCTTGTTCAAGAAGGGGAGTAGAGACAACCCTGGTAATTACAGACCAGTGAGCCTTACTTCGGTTGTGGGTAAAGTGTTGGAAAGGATTATAAGAGATAGGATTTACAATCATCCAGAAAGGAATAATTTGATTAGGGATAGTCAACACGGTTTTGTGAAGGGTAGGTCGTGCCTCACAAACCTTATTGAGTTCTTTGAGAAGGTGACCAAACAGGTGGATGAGGGTAAAGCGGTTGATGTGGTGTATATGGATTTCAGTAAAGCGTTTGATAAGGTTCCCCATGGTAGGCTATTGCAGAAAATACGGAGGCATGGGATTGAGGGTGATTTAGCGGTTTGGATCAGAAATTGGCTAGCTGTAAGAAGACAGAGGGTGGTGGTTGATGGGAAATGTTCATCCTGGAGTTCAGTTACTAGTGGTGTACCTCAAGGATCTGTTTTGGGGCCACTGCTGTTTGTCATTTTTATAAATGACCTGGATGAGGGCGTAGAAGGATGGGTTAGTAAATTTGCGGATGACACCAAAGTCGGTGGAGTTGTGGATAGTGCGGAAGGATGTTGCAGGTTACAGAGGGACATAGGTAAGCTGCAGAGCTGGGCTGAGAGGTGGCAAATGGAGTTTAATGCGGAAAAGTGTGAGGTGATTCACTTTGGAAGGAGTAACAGGAATACAGAGTACTGGGCTAATGGTAAGATTCTTGGTAGTGTGGATGCGCAGAAAGATCTCGGTGTCCCTGTGCATAGATCACTGAAAGTTGCCACCCAGGTTGATAGCGTTGTTAAGAAGGCGTACAGTACGTTAGGTTTTATTGGTAGAGGGATTGAGTTTCAGAGCCATGAGGTCATGTTGGAGCTGTACAAAACTCTGGTGCGGCCGCACTTGGAGTATTGCGTACAGTTCTGGTCACCGCATTATAGGAAGGATGTGGAAGCATTGGAAAGGGTGCAGAGGAGATTTACCAGGATGTTGCCTGGTATGGAGGGAAGGTCTTATGAGGAAAGGCTGAGGGTCTTGAGGCTGTTTTCGTTAGAGAGAAGAAGGTTAAGAGGTGACTTGATAGAGACATACAAGATGATCAGAGGATTAGATAGGGTGGACAGTGGGAGCCTTTTTCCTCGGATGGTGATGGCTAGCACGAGGGGACATAGCTTTAAATTGAGGGGTGATAGATATAGGACAGATGTCAGAGGTAGGTTCTTTACTCAGAGAGTAGTAAGGGCGTGGAATGCCTTGCCTGCAAAAATAGTTGACTCGCCCACTTTAAGGGCATTTAAATGGTCATTGGATAAACATATGGATGATAATGGAATAGTTTAGGTTAGATGGGCTTCAGATTGGTTTCACAGGTTGGCGCAACATTGAGGGCCGAAGGGCCTGTACTGCGCTGTAGTGTTCTATGTTCTATTCATTTTGGTACCAAAGACAATGAGAAAAGGTGTTATAAAATGAAGGATGCAATTCTAAAAAGAATGCAGGAGCAAAGGGATCTGGGTGCGTGTGCACAAATCATTAAAGATTGCAGCACTGAGTAATTAATGAAGCACACAGAATCCTAGGGTTTATAAAATGGGGCGCAGAAAAGAAGATTACAATAAATTGAATAAAACACAATAAAACTATGGTTCAACTTTAATAGTACAGCCTCCACCCTGGGAACCACAATTCAGGAAAGACGTGAAGGCATTACAATGAATGGAGAAAGGATTCAGGTGAATGATTTCAGGAATTCTAGATACTTTGGTAGAGAGGGGGGCTTGGCTGTTATCCTTTAAGAAACACAGACAAAGAGGAGTTTTTTTTAAAAATTCACTCACCAGACATGGGCGTCTCTGGCTAGGCCAGCATTTATTGATTATCCCTAACTGCCCAGAGGGCAGTAAATTGTCAACCAAATGGCTGTGGGTCTGGAGTCACAAATAGACTAGACCAGATAGGGATGACAGATCTCCTTCCCTAGAAGGCGTTAGAGGTCTCCAAAATAATTACACATCGTGACAGCACAGCTAAAAAGCTGCTGCTTCCATTTATGGGATGAATGAGCATCAGAGGACACCAATGTATGGTGACTGACAAAAGGATCAGTGCAATATGAAGAAAGATTTTTTTATGCAAGAAGGACCCAGGATGTACTGCCTGAATGCGTGATGGAGGCAGATTCAACTATGGCTTTGAAAATGGAATTGAATAATTCCTGATTATATTTAAATATCAGAAGAGAAAATATTTGCAGGCTATGGGGAAAAAGGCAGGGGAGTAGGAATAGGTGAGTGACTCCTGTAAGACTTTCATTCTGTGCTGTAATCATTTTATGATTCTATCATAAAGCAAAATATGACACTGAACCACATAAGATTTTTGGATGGACAACCAAGACTTTGGTTAAAGAGTTAGGCTTTAAGAATTGCCTGAAAGAAAGCAGAGAGGTGGAGAAGTTTAGAGCACAGGCAGGTAAACGTACAGCCAAACAAAGATGATGCATTTCAAATCAACCATGATGAAGATACCACAATCAACGGGGTACAGATATTGCAGAGGGTTGAGGGTTGGAGGAGAGGTTACAGATAGAGAGAAGTGGGGCCATAAAATGACGATAAATTTTTTTAATTTAAGGTGTTGCTTAACTGGGAGCCAGTAAACATTGTGAGAATCTTTTTTCCCATGGAAGACATGTCTAAGACAAGAGGGCATTAGTTTAAGGTCAGGAGTAAGTGGTTTAAGAGAGGATCTGAGGGAAAAACCTTTGCACCTAGAGAGTGGTGGAAATATGGAACATGCTGCCTGAGAAGGTAGAGGAGGCAAGTACTCTCACAACATACAAGCAGTGCTGGACGAACATTTAAAATACCAGAACGTAGTAGGCTGTGGACCAAGTGCAGGTAAATGAGATCAGTATAGTTTGGCGTTTTTGGTCAGCATAGACATGACGGATATAAGGGCCTGCTTCTGTGCTGTAGGAGTATGACAAATAGGGCCAATGAGCGAATGGAATTTATTGTGTTAGGATACAGACAGAGGTGTTTTAGAACAAAAGCATTAGAATAGTCCTTTAAATTCTTGCTTCAGAGATAGAAACATTTGTGTTTAATCAGCCACATTTTCACTGACCCAACATTCCAAATGGATTGCTACACATTAGAAACTTCAATCAACTTTAACGTTTTGAACTGACAATTCACAGTTAATTTTTGATTTGCTGAATGAAAACTTGTTCTTTGGAGCCAAAGTTTGGAACCTGCTAATCCATCAGGATTTGAATTTTACTCCTGGTCCCAGAAAAAAATACTTGCACAACAACAAAATAAAACACAAAATGTATTAGTGACCCCATTGTAAAGGTGCCTCCGAACAACAGTGATCTTGTTAGAATTTCACATTGAACTCAAGAGTGAGAAACATGGAACTAAAACTTAACCTTAAACTGGAATGAAGGTAGGGCAGCCTAAAAACAGTGGCAGACATACAACGTGATATTTCATAATTCTCAAAGACCTATTCTGTGGCTAACAAAAGTAGTTAAGCACTGTATCAGGTCAAAACAAGTGGCTCACAATTCTGCAAAGATTAATGGTAGGTCAGAGGACTGGATGAATTTTAGAAATCAACAATTATTTTAAAAAGTGAGAACACAGGTTATGACAGAGACCTAGCTAGAAATAGGGATAAGATTATAAGAGTTTCTACAAACAAAAATGGAAGAAACAACTGAAGTGAATGCTTACCCATTACAGGATGACAATCGGGAATTAATAATGGGAAGCAAGGAAACTGTGGAAATGTTAAAAAGTGGAAGGCCACATAAAGAATCCTAAAAGAGCTGAAAATCAAGACGGAAAAGGGAAGAAGAACTAAAACAATTATAATGGACAGAGTGGTGGTAATTTTCCCAAATTCATTGGATTTTGAAAGCTCCCATCGTATTGGAAAACCACAAATGTAACATTTAAATCAAAGAAAGAAGGCAGACAGAAAGCAGGAAACTACAGGCTAGGTTGAGTAATATCTTTCATAAGGAAAATGCTTGAAATCATTAAGGAAGTATGAACAGGACATTTAGAACATCACAATAGAATCAGACAGAGTCAATGTGATATTGTGAAACGGAAATTGTGTTTGACTAATTTATTAGAATTCTTTGAGCAAGAAACAAACAGGGTAATGAGGAACCAAACATGTAGCGTATCTGAATTTCCAAAAGGTATTAAATGATTACTAAACAATATAAAAGTTTTTGTGTTGTAGGTATTACAAATTAGCATGAAGAGGGCATTGGTTAACTAACGGAAAGCAGAGTTGCGATAAGTAAGACTTCTTTTGGGTTGGTGAACTGTAGCTAATGGAGTGACATAAAGATCAGTGCTGTGATCCCAGCTATTAATAAACTATTATTCATTTGCATTCGGGAACCAAATGTATGACAGCTAAACTTGCAGATGACACCAAGTTGGTAGGACTGCAAACAGTGAGAAGGACAAAGAAAGTCATAGGTTAAGTGAGTGCAGGCATGTAGAAAATAGGAGTATAACATGAGAAAACGTGAGCTTTTCCATTTTGGCAAGAAGCAGAATTTTTAAAAAATATTTATTGGAGAGGGACTGCAGTAGTCTGTGATACATAGGTATCAGTGTCCTGGTATATAAATCACAAAAGGCCAGCATATCAGTATAGCAAGTGATAAGGTAGACAAATAAAATTATTATTATAAAGGGAATGGAGTATAAAAGTAGGGAAGTGTTGGTGAGCTGTACAGGGCAACATCTTGGATTTTGGCTTCCGTACCTCAGGAGGAACCTATCTCATTGCAAGCAATTCAGGGTAGGTTTGCGCGACTAATTCATGAGATGGAAGGTTTGTCTTACGAGGAAAGCTTGAGCAGGTTAGCCCTACACTCCGAATTGAACAAATGAAAGGTAACCCAATTGAAACATAAGATTCTGAAGGGGCTTAATGGGATGAATGCTGGGAAAATTCTCTGCTCGGGCATGAGCCTGGAACTGAGGAGGGGCACAGGTTAAAATTAAGATGCAGATGAGTAGGTTTTTTTTCTCTCTCTCTCTCAGAGTTGTTAGACTTTGTAATCTCTTCCCCAAAGAACAGCAGCGGATAGGGTCATGGATGTATTCAAGGCTGAGGTAGAAAATACTTTGACCAACAAATTAGGTGTTATGGGGACAGGAAGGAAAGTTAAGTCCACAATCAGATCAGCTATGAATTCAGTGAATAGTGGAGCAGTTTCGAGATGGCTGATGGTCTACTTATGCTTCTATTTCTAATGGTCTTATCTGATCATTAAGTGTACCTGGTGCTGCTACTTTGTCTCATCAAAGTGCTTTGGAATGAAAAACAACAGTAATAGGATAGGGAAGTTTAATTATTATCAGTCAGCAGGAAGTTGTGGGAAAAGCCGGTGCAATGAGGGATAAGATAATAAAAATGTAAGGCGTGGACACAGTTTCAAATGAGGATCCACACAATTCAACAAATGAAAAAAGTCAATCTTATCCAATTTGTTTTTACCGATTCTGCAAATTGTCTTGCTTCTAATAAAGTGGCTTCTGCTGAGAATTGGTTTGTAAAGGAAGATCCGTCAGGGAGTCGAAACTGGATTCGGCACATATTGCTACAAGACAAAAGACAGCATTTTAACCAACTTGTAGTAAGACCGTTTCTGATTATGTAACTCCAAGTTTGAACTCACCATATTGAAAATGCAAATATATTAAGGCTGATCAATATCTGATCAGGTTCTCATGATTTTACAAATAGAAGTTCAATTTTACTCTTCAGAAAGCCTGATGATGAATGCTAAAATAGGAAGCAATCTCTACACACCTTCAATCAAAGAGATAAAAATCAACATGTGAATCTCAAATTTCAAATCCAGTTGCAGCCCGTCACTACTTACAGGAGCAGAAGTACCAAATCAGTGTCAACCGTCTGCATCCAATCAATGTAAAATACTATCTTTGATAGTTTATCCAAAGATTTAATTTAGTACTTGTAACATTTTGCATGTTTATTTTGCATATTTAAATGTTTAATTAATAAATTAAAAAAGAAGTAATTCTGTAACATGCTCTGATACTGACAGTGAAACAGATCTTTACGTACTGCGTTGCTTTTGACCTCAGAAATTTTGTTGTTTTTTTAAACTAAATAATGCTCACGCCTAGTATGCCTCAGATAAAAATAACAAGAGAATGGGCTTCTAATCAGGGCTTTTCTATTTAGGATTCCAAGTTTGCTGAATGATGACGATAACCTTGACACCAGTTCATTTACAATTTTGTTTTTCCGAATGTGGGATGTTTTTACAATGTATCTTTGCTGAATAATTGACATATAAACTAAGTACTTTTCCTGCATAAATTCTGTCACTTAAGTTTAACTTCCCCTAAACACAGTTATCCTGTCCCTTAGGTCTGGCAAAGTCCAGAGCTTCCTTGGTACTGACACACATCACCTTGTGTTCTTACTACATTACACTGCTGTATTCTTAAAGGCCACGAGGTTACGAACCAAGGTGGGCTGTGGTATAATCCTAGCCCCAAACTATTTTTTTAGTGAGGCTGAATTTGGTGGGAAAGCAGCCATCTATGGTTTGCAGCTACCCATATGCAATATCAGGAGCATTTCTGATGTCTGAATGCTTCCTCCTGGCGATAGACTGGGGATGGAGAGGAGCAACCCAGGTAAGATCTTCCCCATGTCCCCAACACCTCTTCAAATGCCTATTTGGTTATAGCTGTGACCATGTAATCCTCTGGAGGGGCTGCTCACCACAATGGTGGTCCTGCACCTCTACTCATTTTCACTTCAAATATATAAAAATATTGATCTCAACATGAAAGGTGTCTTCTTTCCCTCCTTAAATGTGACAGCAAATTACAGCACATTCAGGAATGGAAGGCTACAAATTATCCCTACAGCTTTGACAGCACATCCATCATTTGTAATTGGTGGCATTTGCAACCATCTGGCCATTCAGTAGTAAATCCAGCTTAAATCCATATTAAGTGACTGATCCCTATATAGCATGAGATCAGGATGTGCATCTGAACTGTTGAAGTCCCAATCCAGAACAGAAAATCTGCTTGGATCAGAATTACATTTGTGAAATTGAGTGGGAAATGAAGAGCAAAGGAGTAAAACCTAAGTCCCTTAATATCTAATGAAGAGACATTAGAGGGAGCATTCCAGTTAAGTTTCCTTGATAGAAAATAGCAAAAGAATTTGATTAATAAAGTATGTATGTTAAATGAATGGGAAAGAGGGTTTAAGAAAGAAAGAGGGTTTAAGAAAGAAAAAGTTATTTCACATGCATGTGCAGGTTAGCCTAGTATTGCATCGCCCATCCACAAAATTCCTGAAGGTAATGGTGGTGAGCGGCCTTGTCAGGATGGTGTGGGGCTTGGTGGGGAACTTACAGGGGTCAAATAATCAAATTTATCGGATGCCCTTGTTCTTCTCAGTGTTGAAGATTACTGATTTGGAAGGTGCGGTCAAAACAGCCCTATCAAGTTTCTGGCTACCGCAAAGTCTTAGGGCCCTGACGATGTGCTGACAACAGTGGAAAAAACCTGAACTCCAGAACTAGCTGTGCACCTAGCCAAGCTGCTCTGGTACAGCTGCAACATTGGTATCTACCAGCCAATGTGGAAAAATCCAAACTGGCCAATTACAGTACCATAAGGCTACTCCCAACCATCAGCCAACTGATCTAGGGGGTTGGTGACAGTGTTGTTACATGGCAATAACCTGATCAGTGATCTGTTTAGTTTGGGTTTTATCAGGACCACGCAAGCTCCTGACCTCATCATAACCTTTGATCCAGACATGGACAAAAGAGCTGCACTCCACAAAATGAGGCAAGGTGACTGCCTGGACATCAAAGCTACATTTAACACAGTATATGGCACCAAACAACTCTCAAACGGAAGTCAAAAGAAAAATAAAAATCAGGAAAAACTCCAGTGGTTGAGTCATATCTAGCAAAATGGAAGCTGGCTGTAATTGGTGGAAATCAATCATATTAATCCAAGACATTGTTGCAGAATTTAACATTCAAGTATTTTAAAGCATTCCAAAAGTAAAAGTTTGGTACCAAAACATTTTCAAACAGTCTCTCGTTCAAAGACTGAACTCAGCCTAAAAATGAATACCAAATGTTAAATGTACATACAAAAACAGAAATTGCTGGAAAATCTCGTAGGTCTGGCAGCACCTGTTAGCCTAATCAGTTAACATTTTGGGTCCACTGACCATTCTTCAGAACTGGTCAGAACGTCCTCAATTCTGAGGAAGGGTCACTGGACTCGAAACGTTAACTCTGATTTCTCTTCACAGATGCTGCCAGAGCTGCTGAGCTTTTCCAGCAATTTTGGTTTTGGTTTCTGATTTCCAGTATCTGCAGTTCTTTCGGTGTTTATTAAATATTTAAATACATTTCATTGAATGCAATACCTTCTTTCCTTTTTGCTCCTTGCTTCTTCATTGGCCTGCCTCTGCATCTCAGCTGCTCTTTTGGCCGCTTCAGCTTCTTCTTTTGTCTTTGCATAGCGTGCAGCTCTCTCTGCACGGTCCTAATAAGGAAAATTCTTTCCAGTTATTACTAAATATTGCTCATTTCACTGATTCATCTACTTTTGCATAAATCATAGTATAATACTCATGACCTTCCTCATAACAAAGCTTTACATATTAAACAATTTAATTTTTGACAGAGAGCATCCTAAACATTCTAATATTTTTGTCAGCCAAGTGGGGGAAAAAACTCCATGTAAGCTTAAATTGAAAAATAAATGATTTTGCTTTAAAACTTCATATCTGTGGATTCTACTTTTGACAAATTTAAGGAAAAGATAGTATAGTTCCAAAACAAACCTGGGTGTGATCATAGAGAAGGGATTCAGAAATAAGCAGAGTTGGCAAATTTTATGGAGTACTCATTAGTCCTGTTTTTAAAAATCCATTTTGTTACAAATATTTATATGATTAAATTAACTGGCACATCACTTTGTGCACAACCAGTAGTTTCAGAACACAGACTCTTCCAGGTTTGAATTCTAGTTTCAACTGGCATTGCTGTTGTGGACAAAATTGCCTACACAAGAGAGAATAATTGTATCACTACCATTTCACTTCAGTTAAATGCATCTTCGGATATGCTGAATGTAACATTGGGATAATGCTATCCAAAGATGCAACCACTGATTAGACCATCTTACCTTCTTAAATAGATGAGAAGACTTTGGCCGCACTGAAGCTGTGAGATAGATGGAGACTAAATATGTTCTCCTAAACAGTGATGTTTGGCTTTTACGTAGGGCGGAATTTCAAAACTTAGTTAAGGAATTAAACAAGATTCTTAATTGTCAAAGCACAAACCAATGCAATCTGCTGTCTTATTCTTTCTCGTGCTAAACGCTCTTCTTCTTTATCTCGGCTTCGTTCCTCAAGCATTCTTTTTGTCCTGTCTTCCTCTTGTTTTCTTTTGAATTCCACCATTTCCTTGCCAACTTTCCTACGCTCAATTTCAACTTTAATTTCATTCTGAAAAGATATATATGTTTGAAACAGTTATAAAACGAGGATTCATTAATTTTACAAGTTAAATTTAATATATTTTAACTTTTTCTCTCAGACAAAGAGAGTCAAATGAAGTCTACACAGTTTAAAGAGCACCAGATCTTGGTGTCCTTTGTAACTACTGCTAAATAATTGTTGAAATTCATCATAAAACAGGGTATTTTCCTGCTTTGTAAGAAATAATGAGAAGACTTGACTATCAACAATACCCAAAACTATTGCTTATCCTCTGTTCCACAGGTTTGGGAACATCTAGTGCTGCCTTTCCGCCCTTTTCCTACCTACCATTTTTCTTTACATTTTGGACTTAATTCAGAAGGAGGAAATACACAGCTATACAAACATACAATAACCCAAAGCATTGATAAAAATTTTCCATGAAAAGGTAGGTGTAATCATTAATTTGAAGTTGTATGACCAAACCTTCCATAAGATACTTGAAAAAAAAATTCAGTAATAGTCCTGATACACTATTACATATTATAAATGAACACACGAAAAATAGAACAAGCAATGCCACAGTAATTCAGTAAATACAAACATCTTCAAATCTACCACACATTAGTGTAGGATAATAAAATGCACTACTCTATGCTTAAGTTGAGAACGGCTAGCTCCAGTGATATTAAAATTGTAATTCTAAGCACTTTACATCATGACAAGATTTTCCTACTTTTTAGAATGGACTCGGATTGCTATAAAACTTACTTTGACGGCAAATAGACAATAGCTATACTTCTTCATACTCTGTGGGTGAAACGCTCTTATTTCAAGGCACTATACACTCTAATGTAAGTTTTTCAGATGATAGAACTGTATTATGCAGCTCTTCTGTACTTGCAGATTTTGATGCAATACCGGTCAACAAGAATTAAAATATCCAAAGTACAAGGCAACATATATTTGTTTTCAGAGTTGTGGCAATTATTTCATATAGGTAGATAATGGTGAAAAACAAACTTCCTAAAAAACCAATAGTAGTTATTTTTATTTTCAAAGCAGTTGGGGGCGTGGATCAATGCAACATCATCATTGAAGTTGTCAGGTTAAAATAACTGCCCTTTGTGAAGGTGTGCAAATTTATTCAGTTATCTGACAGTTTCAAGAGAAGTTTTTACATAGTAGTGCAATTCATAACTAAAACAAACTCTAAAATCTTTCAGAGAAAGCCAGGCTGAACTTAAGAAACCGTTAAAAGCTGATGATGGATGATTTTGCTGTTGCAGCATAAATCACATTATCCATGTTTTTCAAAAATAATCTAAGATTTCTAGCTGCCTCTTTTTAGGTCAATTATATTTTAAATCTGAATTCAAATCTGAAGACCTCAATAAGTTGTAATTTTTTGTAAATTTATTTGTTCATGGGTTGAGCATCTCTAGCTAGGCCAGTGTTTATCTTGGGAAGTAGCAGTGAGTTGACATCTTGAATAGCTGCAGTCCTTGGGATGTAGGTACACCCATAGTGCTGTTAAGAAGGTAATACCAGGATTTTGACCCAACCTCAGCGAAGGCATGGTGATATAGCAACATGTTAGAACAGCTTATGACTTAAGAGGGGAACACACAGGTGATGGTGTTCCTATTGATCTTCTGCTTGTCCTTCTTGGTGGTAGAGATTATCAATATCGAAGAAGTGCCAAGAGGAGCCTTAGAAAGTTTTTGTGGTGGATCACACAGATGATACACAATGCAGCCACTGTGAGTTCATGGTGGATGGAGTGCCAATTATGAAGCTTATTTTGCCCTGGATGGTGTTTAACTTCTAGAGTATTGTCAGAGTTGTTCTCATACAGACAAGCCGACAGCACTTCATCATACTCTTAAATTGTGCCTTCTAGATGGTGGACAGGGTTTCCTAGTCTCCAACCTACGCTTCTGGCTGGTGTTTACATGGCTGGTCCAGTTCAGTTTCTGGTCAATTTCAATTGCTAGGATGTTTACAATAGGGTTCCAGTGATGGCCATTGAATGGCAAAAGCCAATGGTTAGATTCTCTCTTGTTGGAAATTGTGATCCCCTGCTATTTGTGCAGCTTTAACGTTACTTGCGGCTCATCAGTCCAAGCTTGGATGTTGTTCAGGTCTTGCTGGATATGGACAATGCAGTACCTGAGAAGTCACAAATGCTGCTGAACAGTGCTCAATCAGTGGCAAACATTCCCATTTCTGACCTTATGATGGAGGGGAGGTCATTGATAAAGCAATTGAGGATGCTTGGACATGACAATCTTCCCAATTCCCACTGACTTCAGTTTGGTTCAGGATCCGGAGGATATGATCAAGGACAATCACTGTTACTTCCTCTCGAGTTAGGCTCTTTTTCCATTTTTGGAAGAAAACAGCAACGAGGTTAGGAGCTGAAAGCAAACTATGTCAATGCACAGGTCACTGCTGACTAAGTGCTATTTAATAGCACTGTCATCGATCCTTACCAGAACTTTACTGATGTTTGCCAGGTTTGGTCAGCACTGCTTTTTATGTACCTGGGTAATTGCTCACATTGTTGGGTGGATGCCAGAGTGTTGCCGTACTAGAACAGCTTGATTATGGATTTCTGGAATATGTTGTTTTTAAACCATTGATGGGATGTATCAAGGTCCTTTGCAATATCCAGTGTTTTCAGCCATTTCTTGATATCATATGCAGTGAATCAAATTAGCTAAAGACTGGCATCTGAGATGCTCAGGAGGCAGAGATGGATCATCCATTTGGTACTTCTGCTGAAGATGGATGCAAACGTTTCAGCCTTGTCTTCTGTGCCAATGCACTGGACTCCCCCATTATCGAGGATGGGAGTACCTACAGACCCTCCTCCTCTTTTATGATTTTTAATTACCACCACCATTCATGACGAGACGCAGCAGGGTCACAGAGCTCAGACCTGATTTATTTTTATTCACCGAAGGGATGTGAGCATCATTGGCTGGCTGACATTTATTGCCTGTCCAAAGCTGATCTCGAGGTGGTGGTGGTGAGCTGCCTTCTTGAACTGTTGCAGTCCACGTGCTGTAAGTAGACCCAAATTATCCCTTAGGGAGGGCATTCCAGGATTTTGCTCCACCGATGCTAAAGGAATGGCGATATATTTCCAAGGCAGGATCGTGAGTGGCTTGGAGGGTAACATGCTGATGGCGGTGTTCCCAGGTGTCTACAGCCTCGGTCCTTCGAAACACAAGTGTTTGGGTTTGGAAGGTGCAGTCTAAAGATCTTTGGTGAGTTTCTGCACTGCATCTTGTCAATCATACACACTGCTACTGAACATCAGTGGTGAAGGGAGTGGATGCAGTGCCAATCAAGTGAATAGTTTCAAGCTTCTTGAGTGCTGTTGGAGCTGCACCCAAGTCAGGCATGTGGGTAGTATTCATTCTCACTCCTAACTTAAGCCTTGTAGATGGACAGTCTCCAGGGAGTCAGGGGTGAGTTATTCACTGCAGTAATCAGAGTCTTTGACCTGCTCTCGTAGCCAGTGTTTATGTGGTGAGCCAAGTTGAGTTTTTGGTCAATGGTAACCCGAAAGATGTTAATAATGGGAGGTTCAGTGATGTTAACACCATTGAAAGTCAAGGGGCAGTGGTTAGAATATCTCTTATTGGTGACTGCCTTTGTTTGGTATTTGTGAGGTACAAGTGTTTCTTGCCACTTGTCAGCCCAAGCCTGGATATTGTTGCATGCTTCACTATCTGAGGAGTTGTGAATGGTGCTGACCATTGTGCAATCGTCAATGATAGTTCACACTGCTGTCCTTATGATGGAAGGTAAATCATCGATGAAGCAGCTGAAGATGCTTGGGCCGAGGACACTACTTGAAGAACTTCTGCAGAGATGTCCTGGAGCTGAAATGACTGACCCCCAACAATCACAACCATGCTGATCCTATGTGTCAGGTGTAATTCCAACTAGTGGAGAGTTTGCCCTCTAGTACCCACTGATTCCAGTTTTGCTAGGACTCCTTGATACCACACTCGTGGGAATGAGGCTTTGTGTCAAGGACTGCCACTCTCACCACACTTCTGGAATAGAGCTCTTTTGTCCATGGTTGAACCAAAGCCGTAATGAGGTCAGGAGCAGAGTGGCCCTGGCAGACCCCAATTAGGTGTCAGTCAGCAGAGTTATAGCTGAGCAGGCACTGCTTGAAAGCACTCTTAATGACACCCTCCATCACTTTACTGATGATCAAACGTTATCTAATTGGGGTGCTAACTGGGCTGATTGGATTTGTTTTACTCTTTGCATATAAGGCATACCTGTGCAATTAGAACAGAACATATAGGAGTGGAATTAGGCCATTCGGTCTATCGAGTCTGCCCCATCACTCCATCATAGCTGATATGTTTTTCGATCCTATTTTCCTGTCTTCTGACTGTAACCCTTGATCCTCTTACAAATACACTTAATGACCTGGCCTCCAAAGACTTCTGCAGCAACAGATTAACCACTCTGGCTGAAGAAATTCCTCCTCCTCTCAGCTCTATATGGTCGTCCCTTTACCCTGAGGTTGTGCCCTTGGTTCCTGGTCTCTCCTACTACTGGAAACTACTCCTCCACATCACTCTACTCAGGCCTGTCAGTATTTTGTAAGTTTAAAATCAGATTCCCCTCCATTCTTCTAAACTCCAGACTACATCAACAGCTCCTCATATGACGAGCCTTCATCCCAGCGTCATTCTTGTAATCCTCCTCAGGATGTCCTGCAACGCTAGCACATCTTTCCTTAGAAATGGGGCCCAAAACAGCACACAACGGTCTAAATGCAGTCTGATCAGCACCTTTTACAGCCTCAGCAGTACATTTCTGCTCTTGTATTCTACCCCTCTTGAAATGAATGCTAACATTGCATTTGCGTTACTAACTGCCAAATGAACCTGCATGTTCACCTTTTCCACTTGGTCAGGTAGCTGCCAGTGTTGCAACTATACTGAAAGAGCTTGGCCAGAAGAGCAGTAAGTTCAGGAGCACAAGTCTTCAGTGCTATTGCTGGAATGTTATCAGGGCCCATACCCTTTGCAGTATCCATGCCTCTAACCGTTTCTTGATATCACGCGGTGTGAGTTGAATTGGCAGACAACTGGTATCTGTAATACTGGGGACTACTGGAGGAGGCCAAGATTGATCATTCACTTGGCATTTCTGGCTGAAGACTGCTGCGAATACTTCAGCCTTATCTTTTGCTTTTATGTGTTGGGCTGTTCCATCAAGGAGGATGGGGATATTTGTGAAGCCTCCTCTTCCAGTGGATTGTTTAATTGTATACCATCATTCATGACTAGATGTGCTAGGAGTGCAGAGCTTCGATCAGATCAATTGGTTGTGGGAATGCTTAGCCCTGTCTAGCATTTGCTGCTTATGCTGTTTGGCATGCATGTAGTCCTGCTTGGTGGTTTTAACCAGGTTAACACCTCATTTTTAGGAATGCCTTCCCGCCCTCTCCTTTGAGCCAGATTTCCTTCCCTGAATAACCTTACTGAGCCAGATGGGCTTTTCCTACAATCAACAATTTTTCATGTTATATCTATAGATTCTCAATTCCAAACATATTTTCTTGAACTCAAATCCAAGCATCTGCTATGGCGGGATTCAAACCCAAGTCCCCAGAACATTAGTTGAGCTTCTGGATTAATAGTCTAGCAATATCATCATTAGGGCATTGCCTCCTCTTAATTTGTGTGGAATTGCTTCACTTTACTGCATGTTGCTTGCCTGTTTGGCATGCAAGTAATCTTGCATGGCAGCTTCACCAGGTTGACAACATATTTTTAGGTATGCCTGGTGATGCTCCTGGCATGACCTCTTACACTCTTCATTGAACTACAGTTGGTCTCTTAGCTGGAGATTAATGATGGAGTGGGGATATATACATTTGAATTCACTTTCTCCAGGTTCAAAGTTACAGTATCTGGAATACTAATCCATTAATGCTATTTATTAAAAAATTACCAGAACATGCCATAAAACTATATGTGTAAGGAAGAAAAAAATCCACAAGTTGCAATATCTACCGCTAATTCATCCTCCTTTTTCTGCTCTCTCTGCTCTTCAAGTTTCTTAGTGAGCCTAGATGGAAATAATAAGATGGAAAGCAGATTAGAAACCAGAACTGGTAGTTATCACTGACACTGATCACAAGAATACTGATCAAAGAATTTGAGCTCAAAGAATTTCAGCAGCTTCTAGATTTTCTCACTTTACATCCATCTTAATTTGGTGTCATCTTAATTTTTTGTTTTTTGAAAAGGTGAATAAATATATTGATGAGAGCAGTGCAGTTGATGCGGCTTACATGGACTTCAGTAAGGCCTCTGGCAAGGTCTCTCATGGAAGGCTGGTCCAAAAGCCAAGAGCCCCAGGGCTCTGGGGCAAGTTGGCAAACTAAATCCAAAACTGGCTTGCAAATAGGAGGCAAAGGATAACGCTGGAAGATTATTTTTGTGCTCAAATTGAATTGAATTAGCATTACTGTCACAAAGTTGCCCCTTACAGTGCCATCTTAGGTACAGCTTCTTCAGTTACAAGATTTGGTAGCCTGTGACCAGCATTCTACCACAGCGATTGGTTCTGGGACCATTGCTGTTTGTTACCTACAATAATGACTTGGATGTGAATGTAGAAGGTATAATTAGTAAGTTACAAATGTTACAAAAATTGATGGTGTTGTTGGTAGCAAGGATGGTCTCAGGCTACAGTCTGATGTTCATCAACTATGAACTGGGTAGAACAATGGCAGATATAATTTAATCCTGATAAGTGAGATGATGCATTTTGGGAAGCCTAATAAGGGAAGGATTCAACAATGAACAGTAGGTCCCTAGGGAGTACTGAGGAATAAAGGGACCATGGTGTCCAATGATCCCTGAAGGTGGCAGCACAAGTAGACAGAATGGTGAAGAAGGTTTTTAGAATGCTTGCCTTCATTAGCCGAGCTGCATAATGTAGGAACAGGGAAGTTTTATAAAGCATTGGTTACGCCAATAGCGGAATTGTGTGTGCAGTTCTAGTTGCCACATTATTGGAAGGATGTGACTGCATTGGAGAGGGTGTGAAGAAAATTCACTAGGATGATGCCTGAGATGGAAAGTTTTAGTTACGAGGACAGGCTGATAGGCTGGGTTGTTTTCCTTGGAACAGAGGAGGCTGAGGGAGAATCTGACTGAAATATATAAAATTACGAGAGGCATAGATAGGGTAGATCGTGTAGATCGTGAGAATCTCTTTTCCACAGCAGACATGTCTAAGACCAGACGGCACAAGTTTAAGGTGAGGAATAAGTGGTTTAGAGTGAACAGAAGATAAACCTTTTCACCCAAAGGATAGTGGAAATACGGAACATGCTGCCTCATGGGGTGGTGGAGGGAGGCACTCTTGCAACATTTGACAGGCAGTACTGGATGAGTACTTATAATGACAAGGCATAGCATGCTATGGACCAAGTGCTGGTAAATGGGATTAGTATAGATTGGCATTTGTTGGTTGGCAGAGACATGGTGGGCTGAAGAGCCTATTCCCCTGCTATATGACGTTGACATTAATGATCTATGGCATCCAATCATGGAGCAAGCAGAAAATAACCAGATTGAAAGACAGCAACGCACAAAGTAATTAAAATAAATTGTGTTCAAATCATTTTACTGAGTACAAAATAAGGACTGATATTACACATAGGATGCAGTGACAAAAGTGAATATAAAAGACTAAATTAGTTTATTGTTTTAGGTTTCTCTGAGGGACTTTGGCTCCACATTTTTTAAATACTTTTTCAGAAACTATGACTTGGTACTCGGGTAAAAATTCTGTTACTTCATTAAACTAGATGCAACTTCTTCACCTAATTGTAGCGAGAGTCGTATATAAATAGGTGAAGTTCACAACAATCAGACTTCTAATGATTCCATTTGTGCACCTGCAGTAGCACATCATGGACAGGAGAAGGATGTACTGAGAAATTTTCAAGATTCCCACATTGATCTGGACATGAGGAGACAAGCTTTTGCAAGTTTCATCTATCAACAACAGCAGTGATGATTTCACCATTATTTCAAACACAAGCCTGGGCCATCACCAAGATTGAGTCAAGATTTTTACTCAAAATAAACAATTCAAATGCTGAGGTTCAACTAATTGTAAAATTATGGAAAATAAAATCAAACTAAAACAAGTACTATCAGCAATATTAAAAGTCCAGGAAGTAAGAATATTCTAATTGCTTATTTCACATTAAGCGTCCATTAACAAAACATCAACAAAATAAATACTTTAGGATACCTTCAACTAACTGTGCAGTACAGACAAAGAGTTCATTGGAAATACCTTTCAACTCGGATATTAAGGTCTTCCTCGGTTTGAGGAGGAACAGAACATTCATCAACACAGCATCTTCCAGATGGGTCAGCATGATCGGAATGGTCTGGATGTGTAGACATTTTAGAAGGCGATTCTGGGAAAATAGCAGAAATAAATGCAGAAATTTATCTTGAAACATTAGTATTTCCACAAAATGAACAGAAATATAAACAAGTTTGCAACTTGAATGATAGTAGGAACTGCAGATGCTGGAGAATCCGAGACAACAGGGCTGGATGAACACAGCAGGCCAAGCAGCATCATAGGAGCAGAAAGGCTGACGTTTCGGGCCGAGACCCTTCATCAGAAAAGGGGGAGGGGAAGGGGGTTCTGAAATAAATAGGGAGAGAGTGGGAGGCGGATAGAAGATGGATAGAGGAGAGGAAACAAACAGGTCGAAGAGGCGGGGATGGAGCCAGTAAAGGTGAGTTAGGGAGGGGATAGGTCAGTCCAGGGAGGACGGACAGGTCAAGGGGGCGGGATGAGGTTGGTCGGTAGGAGATGGAGGTGCGGATAGGTGGGAGGAAGAACAGGTTAGGGAGGCGGGGACAAGCTGGACTGGTTTTGGGATGCGGTAGGGGGAGGGGAGATTTTGAAGCTTGTGAAATCCACATTGATACCATTAGGCTGCAGGTTCCCAAGCGGAATATGAGTTGCTGTTTCTGCAACCTTCGGGTGGCATCGTTGTGGCACTGCAGGAGGCCCAGGATGGACATGTC